ATGTTTTTGTAATTATATAAAATATATTATTTAGTTCAAAAAAATTGACTTTTTCAATTTAAATAATTATTGTGTGATTATTTTTTTTAAAACAAAAGTGTTTTTATGCTTACAAGTAAAATTGAATTTTTATTGCTGCTGCATATAAATAACAACAACAAAATTCTGCTAACTGATCTCAATACATTTTGGAGCAGCGCAGCGCAGCGACTGAGACTTTGCTTACTGATTGTTGTTGCATTGCAAGGTAAGTGAATGATGCTTTTGTTGTTTCTTTAAATGGAAAGTAAGAAGGAATAAAAACACAAAGAAAATAATAAAATAAGGAGAATAAGATTTGTATAGTTTGTTGTTTTTTTACACTAATTTTCATAAGGATATGTTATGATTGCAGTCGCAGTCACCAATTGTGGTTGTTTTCAATGAAAAATGAAAATTCGGCGTCAATGTTAATTTTTCATTTTGCATTGAAATCAACAACAATTGGTGATTGTGATATTATATTTAATATAATTCAATCAATACTACATATCTGTTCAACATTTTATTCATAGTGTTTAGAATAGTGTTTTGCCACAAGATTAAAAAAATTTAAACAATTTCGTAAGATATGCAAATATTTTCTAAATAACATTTGATCGATTAAGAGATCAGCTCTTAAACATTTTTTTATCTGACCAGGTATGTTAAGTTACTTTTTTGAGTAACCTCTAAAACAGATGTATTCTTACTCAGATCTACGAAGTATGTGTACGCATACAGCTGGCTAGAACTCATCTAACATATATATCATGGCCGTCTATCTTTAACAAATTGAACAATAGCGCCTATCTCTACCTATTTTAAATTTTTTAATGCACTCTATATTCAACACTATTGTTACCAAGGAATATATTCGAATTATCAATATGCCTGAATTATCAAAACTAACCTAAAAAGTATTAAATAATATTTTAATCTTAGACTTTTTAATATAACTTCAAAATATATGTTCAAAACATCCATTTAGTAGAAAAAAAGTGTACCTAAAATTATCTAAGTTTCATAAATAGGGCGATTACCATATTGCATTTCTAAATTTTGATGATAATGATAATAACGAATAACGTCCTAAGTGATACGAAACGAAGAACTGTCAATAAACAACAATAATGCCCTATGGGCAAGCACCTAATGGTAGCTTCTAGATTCTTAAGTACAGTACTATATATAAAATTATATGCGCTATCACAGTTAAAGTATCTTTAATTAGAACAGAAAAGTGATATATATTATTATTTTGAATTATTGAGGGAAAAAGAAAACCCATTTATTCGAATTACAGAGTTAACTAAGTAATTAATTTTTATGTTTTCTGTGTAGGATTATCAAGTCCTTGAATTACTGTGCCGATAGATGCTTCATTTCAGTTTTTGATGGAGAAAAGTTAAATTTAATATACTAATTGGTATATTATGGATACAAATTTTGAATAATTAGCGAAATGAAGGGAATCAGACTTGAAAGGGACTTTTTAACAATGTTTATGAATGTCTGTTAATAAAACTATGTTTGCACTACTAACTAATTATGTTGAATTTCGATGAAAAAGTTTATTTATTTCAATTATGATTTAGATATACTTTCTAAATAACTTAATAAATCATTATTTATTTTTATACATGTGTTCTATTATAGCTTTTTATGTCAAGGCAAGAGAAACGTGTTACAATGGAATTAAAAAATGGTGTAAAATCCCATTTCGAATACCAGTAACCCAAGTACCCAAGTAAAAAATAGTCGGCACAAAAATCCTTGAGTTATGAGAGGTTCAATTTTTCAAAAAACGTCTTAATAATAAAAGCGTGTTTTTGTTAAATATTCTATAATTTGATGTTTAATTGATTGGGTTTAGAAGTTAGATTGACTGAAAATTCATTTTGTTGAGTTATTTTTGATAATTTACTTGGAAATTTTTATTTATTTATCTATGTTAGTTGCAAATTTTATTTGCTCCGTTTAATTAGTTGTTGCAATTACATTATTATCATAAAACACTAATTAATCAAAAGTCTCAAAAATTAGAGTGTATCTATAGTTCTTCAACGAAATATCTGAAGAATGTGTCATATATTTTGAAACACATTAATGTAGTGAGTTTTACCCGTACACTAATTTTTTTCGATATATATTTACATTTACATGTATTTACATATTTTCCATGTATATATATGTCAAAATCGAGTTTTTAATATATAAAGAAATTGAGTTTTTAAGAAATAAATATAATAAATTAAACAAAAAACTGTTTAGTAAATATAAATCGTTCATTATAAAAATTAAATTATTATGTTTATAATATAATTATTTATAAATATAACGAATAGCTGTAACCATTTAAAAAGTTATTTTATTTTATGAATACAAGATTTTCAATTTCCTTTACGAAGTAATCAAGTCGTACTTTTAAAATGTGATACTTGCCATAATCAATTGTTACATATCAAGTATGAAGTAAACACCTTCACTTCATTTTTACAAGCATTGAATGCTCAACGTAGTTCATATGTTCATGCATTTATACTTTACAATGTAATATAAATATCTGGCAGACGACTATACCATAACGGTTAAATGTAATGCAATAACAACAATAATAAATATACCGTGAAAGTGAATTCTTATTTTATTAATAAGAATAATAATAGTCCATATTAATCTTCATTAGTCGAAATATTGGTTAGAATAAAATATGTTTTTTAAACTGATTTAAAAATTTGTATATTTTTTAAACAATTGACTGATAAGCCTGTTTAAAAATATATAAAAATAGCACAAAAAGTATGAAGTTAATGTAAAAAGAACAAATCACTTTTAATAAATGTTTTTAACATTTAAAAATATAGATTTTAATAAAAAGAGTACACGCCCCCGGGTGGGCTCGAACCACCAACCTTTCGGTTAACAGCCGAACGCGCTAGCCAATTGCGCCACGGAGGCGATGTCTGTCCACATGTCATAAGAACTTAATGTCACACTTCCCAGAACGAGGAAATATACTTCAAGAATATAAGAATCAGAACATTTGATAATCCATAAATAAAAACTAGAGTCTGAAACGTATACAAATTTCAAAAAGTATATATGATATATAATAATCCGGAGCTCAATATAAAAACACTGCATAACTTTATTATCATTTTAAAAGCTTTTTTCACCACATAACAGATCCCAGTAGAAAACGGATCGATCCGTCATCGAAGACGTCTTCAAGACATGGATACATACATGAAGACCGATCGATCCAAATGTATGACGGTCTTTGAAGACACTTTCATACAAATTAGCCAAATGTCTTCAATGAATTTTTGTGTACATGTCTCGAAGACCGTCTCGAAGACCATGTCTTGCATAACGGACGCATTCGACAGAAAGTTGTGCGCTCTTAGTGCAGTGCTCATATAATTTTTTCACCCTTTTTTTATTTCTACTCTTTTATTGCGCTCTTTAAATTTTAAATGAATTTCAATTTTCTCTTTAAATAAGTAGAAAGAAATTGTTGTATTTTGTACTTTTATTTATTTTATATAATAATTTTTTACATTACATTCAAAATTAACAGTTTTAGAAGTAAATTATAAATTTTATTATAAATTATTATAAATTTTATTAAGATATTAAAAATAAACTAGTAAAAACTAGTAAACGTAATACAAATTAATTTAAATATTTAACTTAATATAACTTAACATATCTAAAATTAACTAAAACTAATATAAAATAATTTATAGCATTTCGCTATCATCAATTGTTGAAGTTTTATATGTTTCAAAAGCGTTGAAGAGGATTTTGGTACAATTAAACCTTCTGATCTTAAGAGTTCTAAAATATCTTTACCACAATGCCTGTTAATCCTGTGTTTTTAAATATAACAGCTAATTTTTCACAAGTGTTTTCAGTTTTTTTATTTTCAACATCCTTTGTTTCGTTTCTAAAACAACTTTCACTGGAATTATTGTCTTCAATATTAATATCAATATATTTTCCAGGAACTAAGTCACTATTTAATTTGTTTTGATTTTATTTCTTTTTTTTTAATATTTCGTAGTTTAATGATTTTGTTTCTTTATTTATTTTGATTTTTTTAATATTTATTTCACAAATGTTTATTCACTACACTTCAAAATTATTGCGTCACTTCGCTTATAAAACATAGCGTCTGAGGCAAAATTCAAATACGTTGCTATGAACACTAAAAATGAGAGAGAAAGCAAAGAAAGAATATTTACATTCATGTTTTAAGCAATTGTTTTGCAAATTTGCTTGAACATGCGGACGCGGTATCAAAGACCGTCTTGAAGACAATGTCTTCGAAGACCACTTTTTCTACTGGGATACGTTAATAATATAATTTTTATATATGTATAATTTAATTTATATATAAATTATATATTTAAATATATATTTGTATTATAATATATATTATATATAAATAATTATAATTATATATATAATTATTATTTATATATGTATGTACATAGATATTATTTTTATAAATATAATAATATATAAATATTTATATTTGTCTTTATGCTCTATTAAAAATATACTCACATATGACATATCATATTTGATAAACTTTAAAGACTTCTTTCTATTCCAACTCTTTTGATTGATATTTGGAATAATTTTTATAAAGATAAGCTGTTTAGTAACAAAACAAGCCTTCAAGTGAGTAACGCTAAGTTTCTATTTCAAGCAACGACTGCATCATTTTATGACGCTGAGAAAATGAAACCTTGAAACCAATCTGAAATAAACATTCTTTGCCATTGTTAAGATAGTTGAAATGAATGATTCACATAGCTCTCTTATCAGTCTCAGAAATGCAAGCAAATAAATCTAATCATTGCAAAGGCAGATTTTGCCAATGACATGATTTCTAACAGAACTAATAAATAAGTTAATTATTTTACTTAATATAAAAAAGAATGAATAAATTTTATTTTTCATATTGTATTTCAATTTAATATTATTTTATTTTTTATATTTTATTTCAATTATTAAATTATTAATACTAGAATGCATCATAGCATCACAGTCTACGCCTTTTTGTAATTATGGCACTGAATTAAGTATGTTTTTTTCGCAATTCAGCTGCATTCTTCAGATTTATCTGAATTTTCTTTAATTATAAAAACTTCATTCATTTCAACAGCATCAACTGTTATGGCACGTAGCGCCACTTCAGCATTTGAAACTTTTCTTCCAGTGCGAAAATAGTTCTCAATTTCTAATAATGTGCGTCCTCTTGTCTCTGGTACAAAATAATATATGTATGCCACACCAATTAGAGACACAAAGCCATAAAATGCAAATACATTTGCTGTGCCCATACTGGTTTCCATGGTTGGATATAATTTGAGCACTAAAAATGATACTAACAAACCAAAGGATACTGTTAGTCCAGATGCACTGCCGCGTACGCGTTGCGGAAAGACTTCTGAAGTCATGAAGAACGGCAAAGTCAATAAGCCCATTGTTGAGAATACTATGTGTAGTACAATGCATATGACTGGCAGTATAGGCAATGGTATACCGAACCAACCGCAGGAGGCTAGTATCAACATGCAAGCGGACATACCAAAAGCCGATACAATACCTGCAGGTCTTCTACCCCACTTTTCGAAAATGCTGCTCATAAAAAATGTTGTGATAATACGTGCGAGACCTACCAGTACAGCGCAAAGAACGGGATCTGTAGAGACTCCAGCTCGTGTGGCAATTTGTACGGCATAAACGATAACAACAACAATACCTGACCATTGTTGAAATGCAAAGAAAGCAATCATTACTAGGAGTGGCTTATAGACTTCTGGTGACTTAATAGCTTGAAACACAGACTCCGTTTCAGCGGTACTACGACTTAAATCGGCAGTTTTCTTTATTTGTGCGAGTTCAGTTTCGAATTCATCGTATATTGTTAGATCTTTAAGTTGTAAGCATATTATATTCATTCAAATATTAGTTAAAAATTGCTTATAATTACCTTCCTTGTTTAAACCACGGAAATATTTTAGCGATTTTCGTGCCTGTTCTACTCGACCCTTTTGCATCAACCAGCTGGGACTCTCAGGTATTGGAAACACACAAATTGTTGATATAATCTGATATATGCAAGATATAATGGATATCAGCTGCCAATCGTTCTAAAATAAAATAGAACTTGCATTATGTATTAAACAAATATTCTTACGGCTTTGAACTTACTCTAATGAAATAACCTAGAATATACATAAACAATATTCCGGCAGCAATGCCAATAGATGTACCCATTATTAAACGGCCACGTATTTTAGGTAAACTTATTTCAGCGGAATAAACTCCAACTGGTGAAACGCATAAACCAATCATTATACCTATATTGAAAGTTATTATAAAGTTCTTATACAAATTTTTCTTATAGCAAAATTCATTATATATTTTAACAAATTACCAGAAAGAAATCTACCAATTAACATTTGAACATAAGTCGCATTGCGATCTGTGTGTAGGGGTGCTGCTGCTAAAAAAGCCCAACCCAGAACTCCTACAATATTTGTGAAAATAATAGTATTTTTACGCCCTATGCGATCCATTAAATATCCTACTAGCAAACCACCTAAAGGACAGGCCATTGTATTGATTGAAGCTATTAAAAAAATATTATATACTAATTGTTTGATAAGATAGAGTTAAGTCTTACAAAACCAACTGGACTCATCGGACCCCAGCACAAATGTTTCCAACGGATTAGTTAGTTGACCCAAGGTTACAGAAGGTATTGCTACAGCCATACCACCACCTAGTACTCCAGTATTGCCCAAGAAAACCATTAATTCCTTTTAAAATATTTATATTGTCAATCAAAGTAACATTTAATAATTAATATGCTACATCTGAATTTTATAGTTACCTGTCTTAGCACCGCTTTTCTACGTTCCCCTAACGGCTTGGCAGTTGGAGCCTTCTTCACGCCATTACTCACTATAATAGGAGTTTTACTATTTTTTTGTAGGCATTCAAGTTCAGTTTGCTTGGACATAGTGCACCGATTAGTTGGTAGAAGTTTGAAAGATATTTTTGTCGTTAAAGCTTAAAGAATATTACAAATAAAAAATAATTACGGATAATATGTACATATTATTTGTGTTTGCATTTTGAAGATTAATTAAGTTCTGTGATTATTTAAAATTTATAATAAATTTCAATATTATATTGGTATCGTGGTATATAACAGACTTAACTATTGGAGAGTTCATTTTCCAATAGTTCCAATAGGGATTTTTTATATAATAAAATATAATAATCATAATAAATCAAGTTCGCTTAATTTGTGTTTATTTAGTCTTTTTAATGTGATCATTTCTAATCAGTTGTCAAATCGATAAAATGCAATTGGTATTTTAATGTCTATATTATATATATATATACATATATATATATATATATATATATATATATATATTATAATATATATATATATATATATATATATATATATTATACAATAATCTAACTATATGTTTGATATATTATATAAAATTTTAATGGATGCATATTTATATTTATAATGGTTAAAACTGACTACTAGACTCATAAGATTTGTACACATTATTGTTTCAAAGGTGGCCATAAACATAATAGAAGGGTATATCAAACTACGTTAAAAAGAAAATTGCTTCTCAAAAACGCTTCTTAATATCTGAGTTTCTTTTTTCTAGGATCTGGAAGTTATCAAGTAAATTTAATGTACTTTGGAAGAAAACACTTTACGTATGTTATTTGTATATTCTATATAATCTCATCACGTTATAATCAAACAAAATGTTCACATTTTATCAGAATATAAAAATTACTGATTTTGCATACATCATTCATAAATAAAGAATGAAATCCTTAAATAATAAAAGATTGGGGTGTCCAATAACAATAATAAGATAATTATCGTATCATAACGTACCTACAGAAAGCTATTTTATTGATGTGTTCTATATTTTATAAAAACGGTACCAATATTGTAAACACCTTCATTAACATATCAGAAAACAATAATGATTTACCTTATAAATTTAAGTAAATATATAATTTAGCCTCTCTAATTATATGAATTTAATAATATAATAACTTCCTAAACATTCTGTATGTTAATTTGTACATAAAACGAATGATTATTATAAAATGGTTACAAATTTTCTTTGGACTGATTATCCGCATTAAGTTTATATTCCAATGATAGTAGATGAGACACTATTATTATCAAAAATTATTATTAACAACAATCTTTTCTTACAACTTGATTTAAATATCTTTATATACAACTGAATTATATTGTATAACATAAAGTGCTTATAAATGGCACTTATGTGCTATAATGAACTGAACTTTATTACGAAATAAACATCAAACTAGATGTTTGTTATTTTTTGTTCATAATGAAGTATATACATAATGATATGTAAACATTAACATTAAATTACGAATCTTGACTAAATACTAAAAATCTTCGTGGCTAAAGTTAGAAGTTATAGTTATAATAATTGGAACCCAATCTAGTATTTATATATCTGATATAATAAGCAATATTATACTCAATATTTACACCAATATTTGTTGAACTATCAAAGATGTAACACCGTAAATAAAGTTAATATTCATATGACAAAATATTATTAAGAGTAAAACAAGATTAATGTATACGAAAATAAAAGCAAATAAAATATAAGTGATTAAGATGTTAATCATATTAGATGTTTTATAAGATGTTTTATCATATTATAAGTATTAAAATTTTTTCCTAATATAGATGCAAAACACAGCATTATTTAAATATGTTACTGTACTCAATCTAATTTTTGACTTGAGTTTCGATAACTTGACGGTTCTAAATCAGGAGCTATTGTATGATTTGTGACACCTTCCTGTTGAAACCATATATCTTTCATAACCATGTCTTTAATATCCCGAAACAAAAAGTTAGTAATCATGTAACTGCACCAATCAGAATCATTGATTTTTGTCACACTGTCATTTTTAAAGCAGTACAGGACTATCACATTTTCAGACCAAAGTACATACAGTAATGTTTTCGCTATATGTTTCTGACAGTTTTGACAGTTATTTGTGGATTTTCAGTAGTTGGCTGCTCCAGATAAGACAATGGGACTTGTTAAAATATGTGAAGAAAATTTGATTTGAAATGCATTTACTACAGAGTCACCATTTTTTGAATTAATTTTCACATTTAATATATTCAGCGGTTGTTAAACGATTCAAATTATAAAATGGCGAATCTTATACTAATCATATAATGCTTTAGATGACAGTTCTGTTTGACATGTGTTACTGACATAGTGCAAAAAATTCAAAACCACGTAATGGATAATATTTAATTTCGATATGATTATAGGGAAATTACTATGTCTAAATTAAAAATTTACAACAAGTTATTTAAATAAAGACTTAAACTCTCAGAGCATTACTCAACTGATATGTCACTGACGTATTTTGGGTTTATGATAGAAAATCGGAATATGACATCTCCTATAATCATTCTTCAAATATGTGTATTTTATAGTTAAGTTCAGTAACTTGACACAATCATATTAACAATAAGAAGTTAAACTACATAAAAGACTGATCCATGAATTTTGAAAAATGATACTTAAAAATACTGAGAATTTTTAATAACAAATGTTATTTTTTGCAAATTCCATTTGAATTCTTCGGGGTAACTTTATGGCATTAAGTGTGTGTATAGTGAGAGTTTCAAGTTCGTCAATGTACATAAAAGTAAATAAAAACAGATATATTCTGATAAAATGTGAACATTTTGTTTGATTATAACGTGATGAGATTATATAGAATATACAAATAACATACGTAAAGTGTTTTCTTCCAAAGTACATTAAATTTACTTGATAACTTCCAGATCCTAGAAAAAAGAAACTCAGATATTAAGAAGCGTTTTTGAGAAGCAATTTTCTTTTTAACGTAGTTTGATATACCCTTCTATTATGTTTATGGCCACCTTTGAAACAATAATGTGTACAAATCTTATGAGTCTAGTAGTCAGTTTTAACCATTATAAATATAAATATGCATCCATTAAAATTTTATATAATATATCAAACATATAGTTAGATTATTGTATAATATATATATATATATATATATAATATATATATATATATATATTATACAATAATCTAACTATATGTTTGATATATTATATAAAATTTTAATGGATGCATATTTATATTTATAATGGTTAAAACTGACTACTAGACTCATAAGATTTGTACACATTATTGTTTCAAAGGTGGCCATAAACATAATAGAAGGGTATATCAAACTACGTTAAAAAGAAAATTGCTTCTCAAAAACGCTTCTTAATATCTGAGTTTCTTTTTTCTAGGATCTGGAAGTTATCAAGTAAATTTAATGTACTTTGGAAGAAAACACTTTACGTATGTTATTTGTATATTCTATATAATCTCATCACGTTATAATCAAACAAAATGTTCACATTTTATCAGAATATATCTGTTTTTATTTACTTTTATGTACATTGACGAACTTGAAACTCTCACTATACACACACTTAATGCCATAAAGTTACCCTGAAGAATTCAAATGGAATTTGCAAAAAATAACATTTGTTATTAAAAATTCTCAGTATTTTTAAGTATCATTTTTCAAAATTCATGGATCAGTCTTTTATGTAGTTTAACTTCTTATTGTTAATATGATTGTGTCAAGTTACTGAACTTAACTATAAAATACACATATTTGAAGAATGATTATAGGAGATGTCATATTCCGATTTTCTATCATAAACCCAAAATACGTCAGTGACATATCAGTTGAGTAATGCTCTGAGAGTTTAAGTCTTTATTTAAATAACTTGTTGTAAATTTTTAATTTAGACATAGTAATTTCCCTATAATCATATCGAAATTAAATATTATCCATTACGTGGTTTTGAATTTTTTGCACTATGTCAGTAACACATGTCAAACAGAACTGTCATCTAAAGCATTATATGATTAGTATAAGATTCGCCATTTTATAATTTGAATCGTTTAACAACCGCTGAATATATTAAATGTGAAAATTAATTCAAAAAATGGTGACTCTGTAGTAAATGCATTTCAAATCAAATTTTCTTCACATATTTTAACAAGTCCCATTGTCTTATCTGGAGCAGCCAACTACTGAAAATCCACAAATAACTGTCAAAACTGTCAGAAACATATAGCGAAAACATTACTGTATGTACTTTGGTCTGAAAATGTGATAGTCCTGTACTGCTTTAAAAATGACAGTGTGACAAAAATCAATGATTCTGATTGGTGCAGTTACATGATTACTAACTTTTTGTTTCGGGATATTAAAGACATGGTTATGAAAGATATATGGTTTCAACAGGAAGGTGTCACAAATCATACAATAGCTCCTGATTTAGAACCGTCAAGTTATCGAAACTCAAGTCAAAAATTAGATTGAGTACAGTAACATATTTAAATAATGCTGTGTTTTGCATCTATATTAGGAAAAAATTTTAATACTTATAATATGATAAAACATCTTATAAAACATCTAATATGATTAACATCTTAATCACTTATATTTTATTTGCTTTTATTTTCGTATACATTAATCTTGTTTTACTCTTAATAATATTTTGTCATATGAATATTAACTTTATTTACGGTGTTACATCTTTGATAGTTCAACAAATATTGGTGTAAATATTGAGTATAATATTGCTTATTATATCAGATATATAAATACTAGATTGGGTTCCAATTATTATAACTATAACTTCTAACTTTAGCCACGAAGATTTTTAGTATTTAGTCAAGATTCGTAATTTAATGTTAATGTTTACATATCATTATGTATATACTTCATTATGAACAAAAAATAACAAACATCTAGTTTGATGTTTATTTCGTAATAAAGTTCAGTTCATTATAGCACATAAGTGCCATTTATAAGCACTTTATGTTATACAATATAATTCAGTTGTATATAAAGATATTTAAATCAAGTTGTAAGAAAAGATTGTTGTTAATAATAATTTTTGATAATAATAGTGTCTCATCTACTATCATTGGAATATAAACTTAATGCGGATAATCAGTCCAAAGAAAATTTGTAACCATTTTATAATAATCATTCGTTTTATGTACAAATTAACATACAGAATGTTTAGGAAGTTATTATATTATTAAATTCATATAATTAGAGAGGCTAAATTATATATTTACTTAAATTTATAAGGTAAATCATTATTGTTTTCTGATATGTTAATGAAGGTGTTTACAATATTGGTACCGTTTTTATAAAATATAGAACACATCAATAAAATAGCTTTCTGTAGGTACGTTATGATACGATAATTATCTTATTATTGTTATTGGACACCCCAATCTTTTATTATTTAAGGATTTCATTCTTTATTTATGAATGATGTATGCAAAATCAGTAATTTTTTGTTTTTAATTATTAATAGATATGAAGACACTCATACTAAAAGGTATGATAACAAACAATTTGATGTATGTATAACATGTCATCCAACTTGAAACAGTGATAATAAAAATTATTTGAATGTCCTACGTCAATACTAACATCGGTTTACAATTAAAAAATAATTAATGAAGAAAAAAAAAAGGTTTTGTAAGATATAGAATATTGATACTGATACTGATATTGATACTGAATATTCAGAACTATTAATGTCATCACATATAAATTGCCAATTACTTCCACTACGTAATAGCCAGTGAGCTAGTCAAATGTTTTTCAAATAGTATAAACAGTTTAAAAGAGGTAGAGAAAGCATTGAAAACAATTATTGTCATCTATGACAATTAAAATCAACTAATACACAACAGTTTAAAGAAATCAAAGACTTGGTATTTAAAAGACATCAGTTGACAATTAGAAACCCAAAATTATATTGGAAAGAGTGGCAGATCATGCACCATCTCACACAGCATTGGTTTTTCAAAACCATTTCGCCAAAATATTAACTTATAACGTTTCACAATCATATTTGCCTAACTTGGCATCATTTGACTTTAGTTATTCCTTAAGCTCAAGAGACCGGTACGGGGTTAATGTTTCGAATCACATATTCTAATATTGATTTTAGAAAATAAGCAAAGATTTTCAAAGTTATCTAAGTCACAAGATGTGCTCATCAAACGTAAAATCTGCTTGAATACTCTAATGATTTGTGTTAGGATTGATAAACTGATATTTTTGATAATACATGAGCGATATGGATGTTTTGAGATATTAAGCAATTGTTTCATAACTTTGATAAAAACCTAAAGCTTTTCTCTTTAAAATATCTTAAATGTTTCAAATTGAACTTCTTGATTGCTTTTGAAATAACAATATAATTACAATATATATACGTGTACTTTCTTATGATTAGCTATCGCGTAAATTTTCAATGTACAAATAGATTTACAGACATCACTAAACCAATTAGTCTTAGTCATACAGATCAAGAGACATGTAGTTTATATAATCTCAAAAGCTTCTTTGACCGTATTACAAATATTCTGTTAAGAGAAGACTATTCAGAATAGTTTGCAGTACTATACAGTACTTAACACATACATTCAATGTGCTTAGGAAAATTCCATATCTCTTACGAAAATTTTAATACTTAAAGATTATAAGATTATAAGATAATAAACTTTGTGTTAATGCCTTTTTATTAATTTTTTCTTTTTTTTAAAACATCTTTTATTGGATATGAGTAGTACAATCGTAACTATTAGTTAGTTTATCACTATTACTGAATTGTACTTAATAGATGTTAAGTAATACGCGTGCTGGTTTACTGAACCAGTGTTCAGCTCCCATAACCTTTTTATTTGATTTGAAAATAACACCCTCAAAATCTATAAGTTGCAATCTCCGAGGTCGTACTATATATATATAATTAATAAATGTATATAGATGTGCTCAGTAACTATATATGCCTGTATTCTGTAGTCTGAAGGTACTATTTTAATTCCTTCTCTATAAAATAATAAAACTTAGAATCAACCGTTTTTTTTTCTTTACTATTTTTATTAAATAAAAGTTTCCTAGATAAATCTACTAAATGGGTTATTTAATTTTCTGATAAATTGCAATCTCATGGCTTTTTAGATTTTTACAATCTTTTGACATATTTTATGAAAATGTTTAATGCATCGAGGAAAAAATATACTTGATTATGTATTCCTTACATAAGCTCTTATAAGTCATATGTAGGTTTTATTTGTGTATTTTTTTAATTTTTATTTACAAAAAAAAATAAATATTTGATACTATTGAATAGATATTAAAATGTTTTTTAGTGATATTTAATAGCACTTAATAGTAGAACGATGATTTCAGCTATTTAAGACTTTATTCGAATATCTAATGAGATGCAATACAATAATAGTACTTTATTAATAATATATTTACATCAGTTGTTTATACCGAGCACTGCCACAAGTTGTGCCGTAGTCACGGTTGCCACTTTTGGTACTTTAGTACCAAAATTGGTACTTTTTTTTCCGTATATTTATTGTGGATATTGTATTGTTTTATACTTTTTGTACATTTTATATAAATTGTATTTTCTTATAAAAAGACAATAGAAAATTTTGGACCTTTTTTTACAGAAATGGTACCTTTTTAAACCAATTTTGGTACAGAAAAAAATTTTCAAGTGGCAACCGTGGCCGTAGTACAATTTTTGTGTTATTCAATCTTTATTTTTCCTCAATAAGGCAGAAAGAAATTAACAAAGATTACCTGAGCTCCAAAAAATTGTATGAAATACACCCAATTAGCAACCATTAATCAGACGTCACAAATGTTTTGCACCAAAAATTCACAAAATTACATCCAATTAAGATTGTTTGCTTTTCTTAAAGAAAGCACTTGTTTAAACATAACATGCTCGTATCTATGATATCATATATATTGATATTAAATACAATTTTAAGAAAGACGCACCAATTTTCAACGCAAAGCACTTAGTAGTAACCTGGCACCCGCGAACTTATGAAATACTCGACTGCACAGATCCGAAGACGCACTTAGCCACTTGCGACCACGATTACAACTAATAAATTTGTTAGTTATTGATTAGATATCGATTTAGGGTAGTTAACTCTTTACAAAATACAATTGCTTTTTATTTTATTTTGCACTTCCCAGCAAACAATCTATCACGCTATTATCAGACATATTTTCTACCCTCTGAACAATTTATGCGCATTTTGTAAACAACACTTCACGATTAGTTATCATTTACACAGCACCTGGTTTGGTTGATTTATTTATTTATATGATTTTATTTTTTTTTTTTTTCAAAGGACATCGGGGTTATACGTAATCCTTCCGGTTAAACGGCTTTCAATTCACTTTCGAGCTGTTTTCCACTATCTTGAACGACTGTTTGCATTAAGAACTGGAAAACAACTGTTGCCGAGTGTGACGTTATGTATGCAATGAACGCCGAACTATTAATTGAACTAAATGTGTCAATTTATGCAACTCGAAATGCATGCAAATAGATACTCACATACAAACAGACAATTAGACACTCAGTCATCTGTTTTCATTTTACGATTTTTTGTATCTAAACTCAAAGCGATTGGAACAATTGTTGCAAATTTTATTATAAGAAAATGTTGCAGTGTTTAATTGCCAAAGCTAAATAAATTGTGAAATTTTTGTGAACAGCTTGAAAGCCTCTCTTACTACTGAGAAATATTACCTCATGTCATGCTGGAGCTATTGCTCTTGACATTGAATATTAACTGAAATTTAACAACCGACATAAGGGTTGATAACAGTTTGAAAAAAGTAAATTATATTGTATATTGTATTTTTATTCGTAGTTTCGAATGTCACACGAAAATAAATAAACAAATAAGTTAAAATAAATACTATGTCTTCGGTCTCAATGCAGTGAGGTAGAAGTACAAGGGATACTGAGACTACTCGCTGATTCTCAATGTCACCATAAATTTGCACTATTTTTACGTCATTGGCATTATAATGAAGAAAAGCTATGTTGAGTTTATCAAAATGGTTGAAATACGGCGCTTGTAACTTCAGAGATATTCCGTAAAACACATACAAACATTTCGTAAAGAAACATGAAGTATTAATAAGAATCACAGGAATTAGTGGAATTGAAATTTTTGCTACCCTATGTATCCTATATGACTATCTTTTTAGATTGAAAGCATAAATTCCTGTTTTGACCAATGCTTTCAAATTTTTTACAAGAATTTCTGCTATTCATTTGTGTGTTATTCACATACTTCAATAATCTGTTTTAACACCCTAAATTCAGCACTTCTTCAGGTGAATAGTTGTAGGTAGGTTTATTAGTTTCTGGTCTCAATATTATTGAAATCTATGAGCAACAGAAAGTTTATACTTGTATAAATTTAAATTGATTCTTGTTTCGATAGTTTTAACTCATTTTTAAATATATATACTTTTATATATGTAGGTAGCACATTCTTTTTTGAAACGTTAAAAACATCAACATTATTGCATCTGCTCACAAAAACATTTAGAGAATCCAGATAGCTGATGTTTATAAATACAGTATATGTCTTCCACACCTCTCGTAAACTTTTAAGGTGATTTCTTAATCCAAGAAAAAGAAAACAGAATAAAGGTGGTCGTGGGTGCATTTTAGTATTTACCAATATGTAAATATTGATATTATCTATTAAGTTTATCTATTAAGTTTATCCTATACAAATTTCTAGCCAAAAGTGCAAAATATCTTAAAAACTGTTTATTCATAAACCAATTTTCAATAAATTAAATACCTTATGCTCAATCTGTTTTAATGTCTAAATGGGTTCAAAAATTCAGATTGCTTGAAATTGATTTCTTAGAAAAATTTTAATCATTTCTGCACAATCCTTATTTTTCTTGTACCAATAATTTATTTATTTATTTATAATCTTTCTATAACCTATTGTTTTTTCATAAACGCCATTTGAAGAAAATCACCTACTGTACAAAGTCACTAGAGCAAAGTTACTCAATCTAAAATGTAACGAAAAAATATTCAAAGTGTAGAGCGGTAAAATAATCACTTAAAAGATTTTACAAGAACCGGTACCATTAATGTCCTTTAAAATAATACCGTGAAAGAAGAGAATACAATGTTACTGACCGGACTTTTAAATTTGATAGGGAAGAAAAATGTGTTGTCGACAACAATGTTAAATGCAAAAGATCATGGAGTTTCGACGGAATTATTTTTTAGACCCTTTTAAAGACGATATCATGATTAATTCTGAAATATTCTGCAATCAACTACACAAATTGAATTATTCACCTTGAAAAAGTGCAAGTCTTTTTTTATTATAAATTCAAAAGAAAGTAATTTAACATCAAGATAATTCCAAATCCAAGTTTTTACAGTTTGTATGCAATGTATTTATATATTCTCTAGATCTGGCAGTTTTAAAAGCGTGTAATTGTGCTACTTCCGAAAATATGACAAAATGAAGATCATATAATTAAATAAAATATTTATATTTATTAGAAGTATAGGGTGAAGGTGGTCAATGTTACTATATGGTTACCATATAGTAAAGTTTAACATCAAGAAATTGTTTTGGCGTTCAATTTCTGGAATAATTCTGTAAATATTATTTACTTTAAAAATTATTTCTAAATTATTTCATAACATTTTGTTATGCGGTTATGCCTAAATATTGTATTATATCATATATATTGTATTATATACTATATATTGGGTATATGTATTAGATTATATACTATATACATGAGATATCCATATTAAATCATATACATATACAAAAAATCATAAATATAGAAAAAATATATATGTATATATTGGATATTTATACGTGTAGTTAAAAACATATTATTATAGTAGCTATTGAAACTATTCAATATTTTTACTTTTCCCTTAATCCCTTTTTTAACAAAAAAGTTCTACTTCTCCCACCTCACTATTTGATTTATACTTGCATGCTAAATAATCGAATTTTTTTAAATATTGTTTTACTTTATTTCCCATAAAAATGCCACTAAAATCGAATTCCTGGAATGTTGCCAATTTAGTAATTTCTTTTCTCAAGGAAAGTGCAGATATATTTGCTTAATAAAAAAAAAAAATTTGAATTTTAACAAAAAAGTACATATTTGGTATTATATATGTATTACATAGCTACATATGTATGTATAAATATCAAAAATTTGTTAAAACATTACAATTTGTATAAAAATTCATAAATATTAATAAATAAATCAAAATATTTTATTTGAAAAACAAATATTTTAATAAAATAAATCAATTATTTTTCTTCTCAAATATTTCTGTTACTTGCATGTTTTAGAGAGATAGTTCTTAATTTTTATTATTTTGTTTTCTGTTCAAGAAAATTAATATTTCAATATTTTAAATAAATTCAATATTTTATTACATAACGAAACAGGTGCTGAAGAACTTACAATTTATAAATCATAAGTTATATTATAACTTATAAATTGTATATATAGAGATGATGCTATCATCCTATTCAAATATTAACCGAAGCAGAATATTTATTTGCATAACTCAAGTGCACCTAATAATTAAACGTTCAAAAATAATTAATTGTAAAATTAAATATTTATGTAGAAATATTTTCTTCAATCTCAATAAGTTGAAATCCTTGTTATAAAATTATACTCCTTCACATATTCGAAGAAGTGGTACTATACCGATAAGTTATTTAAAATTACTTAAAAGGATCTAGTACTGTAAGATGACCCATGCACGACTTAAAGTCTTATTGTATTTCACACCTAATACCAAGGTTTAGACAATATATTAAAGTGAAAATTTATCAAAATTTTAATCACAAATTAGTTTTATTTAATTCCGGTCCTATAAAATAGATCTCCTTGTTGAAATTTGTAGTTCACAGGCAATAAAAATCTTCAGAAAAAATTATATTTAGCTCTATATTTACTTGTAATTGGAATCCAAATTTCTTAGTGGAATTATACTAAATGATTATCATAATCAGTGGTGTGAGAAGTACCTACAGGGGAGTAATAGACTTTTATCTGCGGATATAGCAAATGAATGCAAATATTTTTAACAAGATTTTGCTGAACTGATAGTGTATTCGATTAAAATTGAAATTTACTTCTTAGGTTAACCCTTTAAGTAGAACCTAGAACCTTTGACGAAGCTCAGTACGCTGTTTAATGGGAGATCTTGTAATTGATCAAGGGCTCCTAAAGTGTTGAGTCGTATATTAGCTATGCAAAAACAGTGTAGATGAGAGGCAAACTCTTCGTCTTCCCCCCACCACTAGAAGACTGATATCTCTACAGAGTATCTCAATGAGAATATTGGATTTCCTTTTAGCGGAAAATGGTCAGATTGCATACTGATGTCTGCATATTTTTGAGTCTTCCCATCTTTTATTTTTATTTAACTGATACTGTTATATTAATAATTAATCTACAAACTATCTCAGTTTTAAGTAAAGAACTTTTGCTTTTAATTTTTAATTAATCCTTAATTTGTCCAAAATTTGCGATCGCTCGCTAAACAATTTGTTACTAAAGTTTACCACAAAATTAGTAAAATATTACAGAATTGTTTAATTTTAGTTTGTTGTGTATTTTACTTTAAAAATAAAAAAAAACCTTTAAATATATTAAAAACAATTTTATATAAAAAAAAAATATTTTTAATAGAACTATTAAAGTTTTACCTGTTTTTGGATAATTTAAAATACCAGCACAGATTAAAACTATGCAATCAACTTTCGCAGCTGTTTTGTACGATATATCAAATTACACAAACACAGACGGTTTTAGATAAAATTATTATATTATCTAAACGAAAACGATTGTAAAAACTATGATATCATCATATTATCACTATTTGCAGGAAATTTTTCGAACAGTTTAAAATAATATTTATGGTATCCTTACATCCGCGATTTGTAAAAGCTTACGACTGCAGAGATCTAAATGTGCACATTCTATCCCTTGACGATGATTATACGTAATAGTTTTTTAAATTATTGATTAGATATCGATTTAAAGTAGTTAACCCGTTATGTCACACAATTTATTTAATAGCAGAATTTTTGCCTGTTTTATTTCCACTGCCAATCAACCAATCTAACACGCTATTATCGTATTTGCTTCCCGGTTAACAATTTATTTGCCCTTTGTAAACAATAATTCACGATTATTTAAAATTTATGCGGCACTTGATGAGGATGATTTATTTCCCCTTACTTTCGTAGCACTCGTATTTTCCTTCAAGGACACAATGTAGTTAGTATACGTGATCCTTCGGTTGTCAGTTTTAGCTAGCTAAGTATTATCTACTGCTTCAAACAACCGCTTTCAATAAGAACTGGAAACCAACTGTTGCCGACAATGCCACTGCAAGCACAATAAACGTCGAGCTATTAACCGAAATGAACGTGTCAATTTACCCAACTAGAACTACATGCGAAGATATATACAAACAGACACTCAGTCATCTGTTTTTTTTTTGTCCATTATTTTCCATTACAATGTAAGCAATGCGATTGAAACAATTGTTGCAAATTACATTCCAGGCAAAATGTTGCATCAATTATTTGCCAGTTACGTTATTACGAAATTAAATCAAAATGAGATATCTTTATCGTTAACAGCACGAACACTTTATAATATTGGAGGAGACTCTCTCCACTCCACAAAGGAACGACCTATTTTCATTACACGTTGTTGAACAAAAATTGAACTTGACATTCTTTATTGACTTAAATTCAAACGTAGACGTAAGGGCGGAATATTTTTTTTATATACAATTCAAACTTTTTATATATGTATTTGTTTGGCTTACCTTGTTATAATAAATTAAATATATTTATATATATTACACAATATTATATATATTCGTAAAGAATGTAAAAAGAATAATAATAGCAGTATCTAATTTATTTAAAATACAGTCAGAAGCCTAAGCAACTTTTATAATTAATATTCATCTCAATTTAAAATAAATGATCATGAGAAAATAAATTTCGTAAATACATACATATTATTCTATATATTTTCTAAAAAAATTTTAAGCAGTGAAATATATTCAAATTAACATCAATTTATTCGCTTACCGTTATGATATATGACATATATATAGTATATATATTCTATATAATATGTATACTGTATAATTCAAAAAAAAAAAATAATAATAAACTGAATCTAAAAAAAACTTAAACTGAATCTAATAAAATTAATATTTAGTCATGAGCATAAGAAAAACTTAAAATTAGTTTTAAATTTTTGATAACACATTAAATAATGTTCATCTTTCATAAAAAAGTACTGCACCCGGAATTTGGGAAACCCACTAATTTTCGTGGACCCGAAAATATCATAAAATTGACAAGTTAATATGAATATATGTTTAAAAATATATAAGCAGAGGTTTTACTTAGAATGTGAAGAAATTATATTTCTTTTATTAAACTCAAGATGAACATTGAAAGATACCAGTTAAATAAAAGTCCGGTAAAGCATACAATTTTTTACAAGTCCTGCTAATAAATATTAATTTCTTCTTATTTATACAGTAACAAAGAGAGTAAACTTCCCGAGATTTTGGAAGGCAATGAAATACACATCACAAATTTTATAATAAGCATGCTCTGAATCAGCTGTTGGTGTGTCCAACCACCTGCTAATTTCGAATTGAATTAGACATTAAACTTAGATTATTATCAAAATAACCAAACATTAGATGACTATATTTAATACCTATCATTTGCAATAAAATATGTTTTTTTATTATTACATTTAGTTGACATATAATCTATATGTCTATATGATGAATATAGATGTCATTGGATGTATATGTTATCTTGAAGTTTATTTGGGTGAGTTTACTTTTAAATGTAATATTTCATAAAAATGCATTATTACAGGATAAATTCGATATGATAAATATACTTTTTTTAAGCTTTCAAACAATAATTTCAACTGCTTTCCTAAATTTTTTAACAGTTTTTTATAAAACGTTTAGTCAAGAATCTTAAGATAACTGTCTAGACGGAACTAAAAGAAACTGGCACCAATATTTTTTAAAAAATTAAGACTGAAACGTCAACCCAGTTTTTATGCTGGCGACATACCTTTACTATGAAATGACTTCAGTACCCTTGTCTCATTATCATCAAGCGGAAAGATGTTTATTGCTCTATTGGTTCAGATTTAATTGTAGCTATTATGCAAGTTTACGGTACGCTGTCATTATTTTATAACAAAAAAATTATTTATGTATAAATTTATAAGTAAGTAAGGATAAACTATTCATTATTTTATTTAATAAATTTATTATTTACATTATATTTAATAAAAATAAAAAATAACATAAATACTAATAATAACAAATAATAAAAAAGTATTTATTTTAATTGATATAATATTAAGGTTGACTGTCAAAAATACCATTTATCTGTTAACTTTAGATATACATATATAAATTTCTGCGTGTCTAACCATTAACTTATAGTTTCGAATAATGCATAAAAGTTACAAAATTTTTTAAGGAATATGAAATATAGGAACATTAGTTACAAATTGTTTTAACATAATTTTAATCAGAAACCTATCTTTTTATAACTATCTTTTTGCTTTTAATTAATAATGCTTCTTTTTATTAGTTTTAATTGTAAATTCATAAATATAATTAGACAGTAAGAAAGAAAAAGAAAAGTTTACTAGTTTTCCAACTTGGGAAGAAATTTCGCAATTGACCATTGTAAAAGTTATCGATTAATATAACAGCTATATTAATAAAAGAATTCAAAGATCTTCTAGTAATTCTTAAAGATATTGATTTTCCGACCTTTTATTTTGAGAGAGTATATTATTCATCGCGTTGCGTCATGTTAATCAATTTTTAGCTGTATGAGCCAAAGGGTGATGTATGAGTGATTAATGAGTGATCAATTGATCCTCCTTGTTCGAACATCCGTTTACTTTGTCGTCTATAACCAGCTGTTCTAACGTCCCTATTTACTCCACAATCTGAGCGAAGTTAGTCGGACATGCATTGTAGTCGTTTTTTATAAGTCGGGGCCTTACATTTAATACATCAATAGTTCATAAAATTATAATATAGTCACAAATCGCAGGGTTCTATCTTTTGTTCTTTATTTTTTAATATCGTTTATTTTTAATATACTCGTGATCAATAATATATAATATATGTGTATATAATATATATTATAAATATATAATATTTTTAATTAAATCTCTTACACACATACTGCAATCTAAGTATACTACGGTAATGCAATTTTAAATTGCTTTGGAATCAATTTCGTCAAAAAATTTTACTGCTTTTCTCGTTAAATTGTCAGCAAAAATGATTTAGAAATTGGAATTGTGCCCGTGTTTTTAATATCCATAAATTATAAAACATATTTATCAATATACGTACTTGTAAAATGTAAATAAAATGTATATAATAAAATAATTTTTTCATTTGAGAAAATTAAGTTTTGTATTAAAAATAATTCAATTATATTTTAAATATTTAATAAATATGAGTATAGCACATAAATAACTTATTTAAAGTGTTCTTTAAAAATGTTTATATACAGATTGATTACTTTATACCAGGGTTGTCCAAAGTACGGCCCGCGGGCCACATGCGGCCCACGACAATTACAAAATTTTTTTTTGGTGTAGTAGTAAAAGTACATTATTTAATTTTTATAGTATACCAAATAAAAGAATTTAAATTGATAAATTGATAAAACTGAATTTAACATTATAACCATATTTTTATTTTTGTTGAAAACAATTATGTATGTATGTAATTATGTACGTATGTATTTATTTCTGCGGTCCTACAATCTGTACAGTGATTTATATTGGTCAGCGATAGCAGCTGGTCTAGACATCCCTGCTTTATACTACGCTATGTACTGAAATACTAATGAATCCCATTTATACAAATAAATGACTAAAATCATTTTGACCGTATTCAGCAGACAATTTTATGGTACTTTAAATGAAAAATAAGTTTGTGCTTTTTAATACCATACCAGTTAAGCGTCTAAGAAGTTTTCTAATTATTTGAGGCTATATCTCTGGAAGACTTACTTACTTCTCCTTGTCAGGCACAAAATAAATCATCTTCATTATCAGATAAATGCACTTTATCTCGAATAGTGCACTCTATATTGGATCCAAGATTGAAGCTGTTTTTGGTTTGTCCGTATAAATCAAGAATTTGGAATACTTCTACAAAATGTAGTCTAGCGACTACAAAATCACAAGATTTTGAGGGAGATGCACGGGTCCATTTCTGGAGATTTGTCTGTTAACAAGTCTACTGAAATCATGACAAAAACCATCATCATGAGTGTTCAATTCTAACTTCAATAAATATCGATTGGCAAAAACTAAGTTCTTATTAATGATGTATAACTTATATGTTTTCTGTTACACTGGTATATAGGACTATTCAAATAGGACTATTTATAAATATAATAATTTTATTTTGTAAAGATTAACTTTATTATTAATAAAGGCTGTATCAATGCAATTCAATTCTTTTTGATATCACTTTTTTGTTGGAAATAAATTTCTCTTCATTGAACATCCTTTTTAAATATAGAAGCAGTAAATAGTGATTGACTAATATTGAGGATTAGGAAAGAATTAGTTAAGAGTAGTTTATGAAAATTGCGCATCGTGACCAATAATCTTCGCTTTGCTGTTGTTCAAAATAATTTCACAAAATTTTCTTGTTTGTAGTCAAAACACAATTCGAATATACGGAGCGTTTTGTGTCATCGGTTTTTTACGACCAAATTGAAAACTAATCGAAATCGATGAAGTAAAATTTCCATAACACCTTTAAATTCATGACTGGATTTGCACAGTATGTTTTTCGTCTAAAAAGCAACTGTAAGTGGATGACTAAATTATAGTACATATTGTTAGAAGGTAAACAATTTCTGAAAATCATATATGTACCTATTTTCCATGATTGGAGTTACTTTTTGATTCATTTTGGGACATACAGAGAGAATGCATTATTTTTATATGTTTAAAATAAATATATAATTATTATTATATTGTTTATGACTATTATGACTATTGTTTGCTGTAGAATTTCTATATGTCCAAGACTGAAACAAACTTTTTTAATAACAACTGTAATTTAAATATTTATTTGCACTAAAAAACATCCCGCATATCTAGTTATTTTTTTCAAAAACAAGTTTTTGTCGGTTCTAAACCGCATCTTATATCAAAATGAATAACATTAATAAAATTATATATATATATATATATTTATTAATACAATATACTTTATTAAATTATTTAAAAATATATGGCCAATTTGCTATTTATCACAGTCTAATTAAAAATTCGTTCTTAAACTCAAAGTTAAAGTTTTTGGGTAAGCCATTCGTTGCTAGAAACAAACCGAATTGATGCCTGTTATATCACGTTTAGTATCCTTTTTTCGAATGTTGAGTTTTCATATCAATTATTCAACACATAAAATTTTTGCAACTTATTTAATGAAAACATCCCGCATTTCCACTGGTGCTGACGAACGAGAATTTCGTAACAATCTATGGCGAAATTCGTCTTCTATTTGAAGTAGTGTCCGGCCTCGGGTCTCTGGCAAGAAAAGGTATATAAATATTGTAGCTAAAAAAGCCATCACACCATAAACCACAAAACAATATTCATTGCCAATCGCTTCCTTCATAGATGGATATATTTTAATACATAAAAATGCCAAAAACATACCCACAGCTACGGTTATTCCAGAAGCAGGACCACGTACTTTTTGTGGAAATAGTTCTGAGATCATAAAGAATGGCAATGTATATAAACCGAGTGTGCTGAGCAGTATAAACCCTACAATTGCTATAACAGGCAAAAATGGCACCTTGCTTAACCACTCAGACCAGCTTTGTGCAGCTAAAAGAAACATACAGTAACACATCCCTAATGATGATATAATGCCAGAACGTCTTCGACCCCATTTTTCTAATATTATTCCCATTGGGCAAGTAGTCAATACACGCGTAACTCCAATGAGTACAGCACATAAAAATGGATCTATTGTGACACCAGCTTCTGTAGAAATTTGCACTGCATAAACGATCACCACAAAAATTCCAGTTGTTTGTTGGAAGGCAAAGAGTGTTATTAGAATTAGTAAGGGTTTATACACCTCGGGTAATTTTAATGAACGAAAAAATGATGGTTTCTTTTCTCCAACACCCAATTGTATTGAATTTTGTAAAATATTGAATTCTGCTTCAACTTCTGTATTTGTAATTAAACCTATAAATAATCAAATTTCATTAATATATGAGCTGTTTTAAAAGCAATTTGAATTATTTACCAGACTTTTCCAATCCTCTAAAATAATTCATGGATGCCTTTGCCTCTGCAATACGTCCTTTAGAAATCAACCAACTAGGAGTTTCTGGCATTGGTATCACACAGAGTAAGGAAATAATTTGATAACCACTACAAATCACAGCAATTAATTGCCAGTCATCACGTATGAAGAATCCTAATAAATAAATTAATGTAATACCAGAGGCCACAGCAATCGATGTGCCCAATATAAGCCGACCACGTATTTTGGGCATACTTATTTCTGCTGCATATACTCCTACCGGAGCACCAGACATACCATTCGTTATACCTGTATAACGAGGTATTTAAAAGTAAAATTTTTAAATGACGTGAAATATTTATTTTTATACGTCCATAGTTACCTATAACAAGTCGCGATATCATTAACATCAAATAGGCAGTTTCAGTATTGAAATGTATAGATAATGCCATTAGCAGCCATGCAATAATTGCGAACATATTGAGTAAGTACAATGTACGTTTTCGTCCTAATCTATCTAGTATTAGTGCGCAAAGCAGCCCACCTATAGGACAGGAGAGCATGTTTAAGGAAGCTATAAATGTAAAAACATATTATTTAAATATATAATTAAGATAATAAATATGTTGTTTAAGAAAAACTTTTTTTTAGTGATTAAATATAATATATAATATATTAATCATTGTTATAATAATTGTTTCTGTAATTAATTTACAATTAAATTGTAATGCCAACATTTCATGTTGGTGTAATCCACTCGGCTTATATAAAGTATATCCTAATCAATTTAATGAGCGTTTAAAAAAATAATATAAATATATACTAATACTTTAATAAAAAAGGACATTAATATTTTTGAAATTAAAATTATAAAGGTTTTATCAGTACACTATTTATATATACCTTCTGATAAAAAAGGAACGAGAGGCCTATTTTTGAATTCCCGCGCTTATCCAATCGGTAAATTTTTTTTATTTTCACGCTGGCAACACCATACACATTCTGTCAAAGTTTAACGCATATCGTACAATTAGTTTTTGTTTGGCGTCATACAAAGAAGTCGAAAAATTTTCATGTGGCGATTTTTACAATGGATCAAAAATTAGAACAGCGTGCGTGCATCAAATTATGTGTTGCAAATAGATTCAAGTGTGCCGAAACTGTTAAAAAATGTTAATAAGGCCTTTGGTGATTTGTGTGTGTCGCAACCACGAGTACATGAATGGTTTAAAAGGTTCAAAGACGGTCGTACAAGCTTGGACCATGATGAGATCTCTGGCCGCCCAACAACTTCTGTTACTGAAGAAAACATTGAATCGGCGGAGCAGATCGTGTTAGAAAATCGTTGTGAACCGATTACAGAGATTGCAGTGTTGTTAGGCATCTCATATGGATCGGCCGAACACATTTTAACTGACGTTTTGGGTTTGAAACGCGTCGCATCTCAACTGGTGGGAAAAAAGCTGAATTTCATTCTAAAAAAGCCGCAGTTTTTAGCCAAAAACTTCACCAATATCATCAAGCAAGCACCGTACTCTCCAGATATGACCCCGCGTGACTTTTTCCTCTTCCCCCGACTCAAATTGCCATTGCGAGGAACGCATTTTGAGACCATAAGGTAAGGTAAAAATCGCCACACGAACATTTTTCGACTTCTTTGTATAGACGCCAAACAGAAACTAATCATACGATATGCATTAAATTTTGACAGAATGTGTATAATAGTGTTGCCAGCGTGAAAATAAAAAAAAATGTATCGATTGGATAAGCGCGGGAATTCAAAAAATTAAAATTCTCGTTCTTTTTTGATCACAAGGTACATTTATAGCATTTATTGTCAATTGCGTCACTTATTTAATATTACGAAAAATATTATAGATATCTTTAAATTTTAATAAAATTTTTAAAGCATACAATTTATTAATTTTATAAAATAAAAAAAGATATTTTTTAATCATATAAGCAATTTGATGAAATCTTATAATATTTAATTAAATTTTCGCAATATTTTTTTAGATATACTTATTTTTATGACTTACCAAACCACGAAGATTGCGATAGAGTTAAATGAATGCTTTCATTGGGATCTGTAAGTTGTCTTAATGTAACTGTAGGTAAACCGAGAGCCATACCACCCGAAAGTATGCCGACATTACCGAGTATAACCATGATTTCTTGACGTCTTACCGCACAGTTCTGCTCACCCAATGGTTTTCTATCAAATGATCCATTAAGACCAGAGACAATTTGAGGTTGTCTATTACTTCGCAAAGGTTGAAACTCATTCGGTTCATTATTAGTTCTTGAATTCATTGTTCGTTATTTTGCTCAACTATAAAATTGAAATTAAATTGTTAAAATTTATTAATTAAATTACAAATCAAAATGAAGTTTTTAAAATTTGTTAAAGTTTATATTTATAATAATTCAATTTTTATACATATTGATTTATATTGCTTACAAAAATAACTTAACGGTGATAATAGATACTTTGTTGTTTGAAGAGAATAAATAATTATTTTACTACTTCCTAATAAACCTTTGTCACACAATCTGATTATACAATTGATGATGATATTACATTTCATGATGGTCAACCATAGATTTATTAAACAATTATTTAGAATACAGGGTTACACTTAAAATTTTTATATTTAATTTTTCAAATTAATTTAAATTTTACTAATAAAATTTCTTGGAACTATCGGTAATTTTATAAAAACTTGAAAATAATATTAGTTTTTGATTTTGTATGTATTATATTGTTAATAAAAAAAAAATATTAATTTTTTTTTTGAAGAAAGGTTTATCAAATAATATATTTTACTAGAAAAATTTTTTACATTTGAGATTGTTGCTAAACCAGAGATTCGGAAGACACTTTGATATCACGCTGTATTTATAATGAAAATTACAAAATACCAGATGTAAGCAGTTATTGAATTTATAAATATGAATAAATTTTTTTTATATGTATTTAACATCTTCTCATACCAGTTAGGTGTTATCTACAGCATTTTAGTATGAGATGATTCATCGTATATGTAATAAGTTACAAAATTAGAGAGATAATATTACTTGAACGATCTATGACAGTATGTATATATAACCCCATATATCTTTAATATCAGTCACTTTTAGTTACATATGCCATACTTATGTTTAAATTTAATTTTTAAGAACTGAAAAGTCGACAAGTTTATCTCTGGCTATAAATTATTGTATTATCTTTGTGGAAATAAGCAACGTACAAATCTATCATTTTCATTTTTTGGTTTTATTTCTTCGGTGCAGTTGGGAACTAATATTATAACTATTATCACTACTCACAGCTAACATTAAAGTTTTGTAAAAGGTCCCGTAATATGTATCCGTCTATTAATAAAGAATATAGCCAACAGATTTTCATAAAAATAATATGGATAAATTGGAATTGCCCTATTAAATAGTTACAGGAAGTCCTTTAGGGTGTATCAAGAAATCACATCATCAAAAATAACTAAAAGAGTTTTAAAAACTAGATTTTTATAAGATATTTTTTTAAATTCACTTCTATATTCCTATATTCTTGTATATTTTTATTATAAAATAGATGTAATATATTACTCAAAGATCATATTTAAAAAAAATTATATTAAACTATTTTGTTAACTGATTTCAAATTAAACGTTTCAAAATTGGTGATTTTTAACATTATAAGCTTATAAAAAAAAAGCATTCTTAATCAAAAGTATTATTTAATAATTTATATGGTTAATTATAAGATTAACATTATAAGATCATTATCACATCATTATAAGAATAGATCGACTCTTTCATTTCAATATGGTTGTTCTCATCTAAACAAATAGAGAATCACCTCTCAAATGTGACGAATATCCAATATACATATCTAATGTAGAATTAGAAATAAGCGGGGTTCTAGCTCCCAACGGAGCAGAGCACTGCGACCAGATTGATCTTTTGTGCTGCAACTGGCCCTAACCGAACAGAAGACATTCCGCTTTTCGAATGAAAGCCAGAATGTCTTCCGTGGAGGACCTCCTAATGTCAGAAGGAGATGTCTAATGTAATGAACGACAAAATTCTGTCATTGACGATTTTATATATCGAATGCACAATACATTATATACAGTAGTTGGAAAGAATAGTTTTGTGTAAGACTTGATTTATATGACATGTATTAATTCGACAAACTTATTGATTAATGCTTACATTTTTTTAACAGATTACTATGAAAAGGTATATATATACCCACAAACTAACGTACAGTCATTTAAGTTCATCGCTAATATTGTATCTGGTAAATCAAGTTTATGTGTAATTTTTCTTTCATCACATAAAAAATAAGAATTATCGTATTTTTAATTTTGTGTACATTTTATTTTAAATTATTTATTACAACTTGAAAGATTTATTTCATTTGAAATTTTATATTGCATCCAAATTATTTTTTTGCTAAGCCTACAATTGTTTAAAAAAGGATAATAATCAAGCTTATAAGGTAAGGCTTCACTTCTTATTATTATTTCAATTTTAAAATGTTTTTTAACAATAACCTGAAATAAGTTCCTATTTTAAATCAAAAACCCACAAACGATATATGGTGGACTTTGTTAAAGATTTATTTTCGTTTGTTACTTTTAGTTGAAACTAAGATAACATTTTTTTTGATTAACATGTTTATCATATATTATTAAAATTTATATAAATTATTTAAAAATTTGATAAAAACACGACACTAATTTTTATTATTTTAACACTTTATGCTTTGGACCAGAAGGGAATAAAATTAAATTTTTATTTTTTTTTTTAATTATTATTTATTTATCAAATTTTTTTTATAATTTTTTTAAATTGTGATATATTTAGAATCTGTTAAATGTGCGTTTTGGTTTATTATTTTCTAAAATTATTAATATTATACATAATTAGCAAGTAATGTGTTAAAAGTGTGACTAAAGTTGTTGATTAAAAAATTAAATAAAATTGATTTCTGTGAAAAAGCAAAGAATAACTATTATAATAACAATAATATGTTATTTGCTGTACGGTTCACACTATTAATGACTTTATATGCATATTCAACTAATTATTAATAAAGCACAATAAAAATTTATTTCATTTAATAATTATTTCATTTTAATAATGAAATTTAATTTAAAATTATTATAATAATCTTATGAAATTAAAATTGAAGTGTACACAGTTTTGTATAAGAATTCTATTTTTTATGCAATAAATATATCTTTATTAATATTATAGAATCTTTAACTTTGTCATTCGCACGATATCACAACCCATATCACAACCAAAGTACAACAACAATCATTAAAAGAAAATTTCAAAAATTTTTAAAATGTCGTACTTTTGCATTTAATTAAATTTAGTTATAAAGAAAAAATTGTTTGAAAACCAACCGTTTAGAACAAATCGCAAAATCCAACTAAAACTATTTTTTATATATGCACGAATTACAAACAATAATAGATAGATTAAACAAAACGATCGTTTAAGCGTCAATGTCTTCAGTTGTTGCACGATCGGTACTTGAAGAACGATAAACGCACGCTTTCAGCAAAATACTAACTGCATGAACTTGTTTAACATATGGAAATCCTTTTGAAGATACTTTTCTTATCACTATCGCATACATTTAGTAAGGAAAAGAAAAATACAAGAGCACTTAACGATATAAGTAATTCCCTCTCTTGAAGTTTAAATGTTTTGAATTTTGATAAGAGTCTATGCATTTAATTTTTTATTATATTTGTTTGTTTATACATGCTTCTGTACTTATATTATTTTTAACTAATTAATAATTTATTTAGTTAAAATTGTGTCATACTGTTAAGTATCTTCAACCTTCGAAACAAATGTGCTTGTGTTAAATGTGTTTGTCTATGAAAGATTTAAATAACACAATGTAATATTTTAATCAAAGTTTATATATAAGATCTTAAAATAAATATAAGTATTGCGTATACTCATGTATTTTACAGAGAAACAAGAAATGCGTTTCGTTATAATTATTTACAGTTAATTAGATGTTTTAAAATAGTAGTTTGCCTATAACTTTCTTTTATAATTGTAATATGGTACTATTGGTAGGATGATTGCTTCACAGTTCGTACGAACTGTTAATTAATTAAGTCCAGTGTGTGCGCTTTGAAACTACTAAAGTTTGTTAAGTTTCCACTAGCTGTTTCTGATATTTGAAGAGCTGTTTACCTAACGTAGGTTGTCTCTGCCTGTAGAGACAAAGACATGTACAGAGGAAGTAAAGAATAGTTTAATTTTTCTTCGACTGGTCGCAGCTGTAATAAATAGCATTGTGAGGGATTTCCATTTTAACGGCCTGCTATCAAACTGGGTAGAAGTGAGTAATTACAGCAGTCAATCAGTCTGACGGGATGTCCTTCTACGAGTATTTCTATTGATCTATTGATCTATGTTATAACACTAATTCTTCGCAAATACCATCTGTTTGAGGTAACAGTATTATTTTAATTAAGGTTATACTTGCAAATACAATTAAATACTTTTATAAATCTTTCTGATTGTTTGCAAATATTTTTTACGTATGCGTATACGTACTAGGGTCACCTAAGCTATAAGGTTATGAAAAAATTTGTTTTTATTTTGGTTACTACCCTCTAAAATTGTTTAAATATTAAGAAAAAACTATTCCACATAAAGTTATTGATAAATCGAATGATATAAATAACGCTCATAGAGTCTCAAATTTAGAAAAATATCTTTTTTCACACTGTTCTTAAATTTTTGCGTTTATCAATTTTCAACTTTAATAATTGAAGTTATACTTATCTTTGTAACCTTTGAAACCATATAATGATACCGGTAAAATTTAAAAAAATTTGTTACCCAAATCACACTAGTACTCGCAATACTATGGTATAAGACCTTTTCAAGGAATATAAATGTAGGAAAAAGTATTTGCGAAGTTCTCTATGAAGATGTCCCAACTTTGAGTAGAAATAGTTTGTATTTATAAATATCTATACTATATTATTTGGAAATAATTGAATATTTATGTAGTTATATATTCCAAAAAATAGTTGCCAAGAATCTTTAAGCGATCTTGGATGCATGTCAATGACTGCATGATCACAAGCACCGGATTACAATATCAATTTTTATAGATATAGATTATAAATCTTTTAAAGTGATGGTACTAGTAATATAATACTAGTATTTTTGCTAGTATTCGAACAATTTTAGTTGATGATAAATAATATTAAAACATATATTCATTAATAATGACCAAACTATTGAATACAATTATATGTACGATATTACATGTAAATTAGACCATGTCTCTTATAATAACTTAAAAAAAGATTTTTTATTGAGTTTTGCTTCTACATTACGTTTTACTTTTATTATACTAATCGAATATGCATGTCAAATCTATCACTCTTTGTCATGTAATGCAATAAATAAATCAGTGAATTTGTTGTACTAATACAATTTATTGTAATGATTTATAATAATAAATCACATCGGAATAGACGTAATTTTATTTGAACTTGTAAAGCAATATCAATACAGTATATGCGGTTTTAATAATTAAAATGAAACATTCATATTCGTGTCTTCAAATACCTTTGGTGCTTTGGTGGTCAGATTTAAATTAATAATTAAAATTATTTGATACTTTTAAAACTTAACGATATTATAATATATTACCTTTTAGATCAGAATTTCCCAACTTCCGTTCATCATAAGTACCACTGGTCCGTAGTACAATAGTTTTTGTATTTAACGTAATTATTTTTGGAGTATATATAGTCCTTAGAAAACACATTGAATACTTTTCTGGACGGAGAACAATTATAGTTAAGGAACCCTCCTTCAAATTACACGGAAATCAATTTGTTGGGAGATGTCTTGAACTAAAAAATAGTCCGGAACAATATCAGCTTTTAAAATACAGAACTTTTATTGATTCTATACTTTATACGTGGAGTACAAAATGTTGCAGTTAAATTGCGACTGAATTCTCTTTACAAAATATTCATGAAATTTAAATAATCCTTTTGAATAAGAATATATATAAAAAGAAATAAAGTATCCACGTATCAAAAAAAAATCAAAAAACTACCTAGAATCTTATAGTATATACGTACTTATACCATTGGTCTGTACCAGGTGAATTTTACCCAAAGAAAAATAATGAGTTATTATTTTATTTGTTTCAATTAGAATATGGAATGAAATAGTCTATTAATACTAACTTATTAAACACTTACAGTCATTATTGTCATTGTTTAGAATATTATTTCTTGTTATAAAAATAATGTTATAAGAAAAATTAAGCCAATGAAGTGCATTTCAGGCTACACAATTACTATATTTACTACCACCAATAAATTATTAACCTGAATCTGAAAAGTAAATACGAGTACTATAAATTTGTTTAAAAGTAATATTATAGGAACATATGGTAGTAATTGATTACCATATATTTTTTCGAACTTATTAGGAACTACATTTTTAACTGTCTTGAAATTGAACAAATCAATTTTACCTAATTTGTATGGAAAATAATTTATTTGAATAAAAAATTTCTTTCGGATGTAAAAATTTTCCCACTAATACCGCTCTTTCCTATTCGATGTAGATATGTTATGTCGTACAACATAAAATTCTTAATTACTAATAGATATACAAAATATTAGCTAGTAAAGACTAAAAATAATTTTTGATCACGTTGCAAATCTATTGTTAGCAAATCTACTGTACTAACTGATATCTTTAATTTAATATTACATATATGGTATAGATAAAATAAAGTAATAGTAATTAAGGTAATGTATTGACAACCTGGTATTATAAAAGAAGAATTGACAAGAAAATTTTCCAACATTTCAAAAGTCATAAACTAATTATTACATTTAAGTTTCAATGTATTTTTCTATTAAATTCTAATTCCAAACATTGGCTTTAATTAACTGATTTCGATAAATCGAAATTTCGAAATTAAAAATTAGGAAACCTCCCTCAATAATTTAAAAAATAAGTTTTAATAACCAAAAAAAATATGATGTATTATTTTTAGAAACAAAACTAAATATCTTTCTTTAATTAAGGTATTATGGGTGATTTCACATATAATAGAACAGATTCAATAAACAAAATCTATGATTTAAAAATCGAATAAACTTTTCAGCCATGAGGGTCACTATTTATATTTTGAGCCTTCACAACACTGATTGTTCTCAACACTGATTGTGGATTATCAAGAAAAGAGTGTGACGATCAAATTACTTCCACTTACTTTTGATTTTAATCGTGGCTGTAGTTCGTATATAACGAAATTCCTAAAAAATCAGTTGTTGTACTAGGAAACAAACATGCTGTGCGACAATCTTGAACTGATTCTATTATCGTCATGCGACATGGTGTGAGATTGACGTTCAGGTGGAACCCTAGGCATTAGTTCCACTAGCATATATAAAATCTCGTATTTCGCAAAATATAATTATAATTCATTCGCAGCCCGATAGTTTCATTTATTTTGTGAAGCATGAATCTCTTAAACATAACCACATTAAGAAAGCACATTATACATATATTTATTTATTTATTTATATTAATATAAAGACATTTTTAACAGAATTTATCATTTATATTTGCAACTAAAAGTATTAAAGCGATTTTTTTATATTTATCACAGTCTTATAAACATATTTCCCAAAATTTGCTAAGTAAAACTAAATTTTTTAACTAAGTAATTACTAATAAGTAGCTCTTATATCTAATTAATCATAATCAATATCTATTTTTGGAATGTAGAGTTTTCATATTAAGTATTCGATATATAATTACTTATTAACTTATTTAATAAAAACTTCCCGCATTTCTACTGGCGCTGATGAACGCGAATTTCGTATCGATCTATGGCGGAATTCTTCTTCAATTCGAAGTAGTGTTCGTCCTCGAGTTTCTGGCAAGAAGAGATATATAAATATTGTAGCTAAAAAGGCCATCACACCATAAACTACAAAACAATATTCATTGCCAATCGCTTCCTTCATAGATGGATAAGTTTTGATACAGACAAATGACAAAAACATACCCACAGCTACGGTGATGCCAGAAGCAGGACCACGTACTTTTTGTGGAAACAATTCTGAGATCATGAAGAATGGCAGTGTATATAAACCGAGTGTGCTAAGCAGTATAAACCCTACAATTGCTATGACAGGCAGAAATGGTACCTTGTTTAACCACTCACACCAACTTTGGGCAGCTAAGAGAAACATACAGCAACACATCCCTATTGCTGATATAATACCAGAACGTCTTCGACCCCATTTTTCTAATATTATTCCCATTGGGCAAGTAGTCAATACACGCGTTACTCCAATGAGTACAGCACATAAAAATGGATCTATTGTGACACCAGCTTCTGTTGAAATTTGAACTGCATAGACGATCACCACAAAAATACCAGTCGTCTGTTGGAAGGCAAAGAGTGTTATTAAAATTAGTAAGGGTTTATACACCTCGGGTAATTTTAATGAACGAAAAAATGATGGTTTCTTTTCTCCAACACCCAATTGTATTGATTTTTGTAAAATATTGAATTCTGCTTCAATTTCTGAATTTGTGATTAAAGCTACAAATAAATATTTTATTGTTATTAAAATTCCTTTATGGAAAGCTAAATTTACATACCAGACTTTTCCAATCCTCTAAAATAATTCATGGATGCTTTTGCCTCTGCAATACGTCCTTTAGAAATTAACCAACTAGGGCTTTCTGGCATTGGTATAACACAGAGTAAAGAAATAATTTGATAACCACTACATATCAAAGCAATTAATTGCCAGTCATCACGTATGAAGAATCCTAATAAATAAATTAATGTAATACCAGAGGCCACCGCAATCGATGTGCCCAATATAAGCCGACCACGAATTTTGGGCGTACTTATTTCTGCTGCATATACTCCTACCGGAGCACTCGACATACCACTTGACAATCCTTTAGTTAAAATCTGTTTTTATTAAAGTTTTTAATTTAATTTCATATATGTACAATTACCTATAACAAAACGTGACATCATTAACATCAAATAGGCAGTTTCAGTACTGAATTGTATGGATAACGCCATCAGCATCCATGAAGTAATAGCCAATACATTGAGTGAGTATAAAGTACGCTTTCGTCCTAATCTATCTAGCAGCAGTGCGCACAGCAGCCCACCAATAGGACTTGAGAGCATGTTTAAAGAAGCTAAAAATGAAAACCAATTTAAAACAAATTCAGTAAAAGAGACATGAAAATGCTAAATTAATAAAGAGATTAGAGAGAGATCTTTATTATAAATATATTTATTTAATATTTTTTGTACATCTTAATGATAAATAATGCTCAGCATAGTTAAGTATTAAATAGATTGTACAAAAATAGACGCATATTTCCATAAGTATTATTATAATTATTATTCTCTTAATTTGCGCAACGGCTTTCAATGACTATTAATAGTTAGACATATTACCCAGTTTCTTAAATGTTATATATTTATATTTGAATCAAAAAAGTATGCTTTAAAATTTTTATAACCAAAATTTTATACACATTGGAAAGATGTTTTTCAACTTCTAGTAGATACTGTCATCCATTTAATGCTACAAAGTGTTTTGTTATATATTAATAACAATATATCCAATATTACTTTTGGATACTATTGTTAAATTATTCTTTTAATTAATTAATTGTTAATTATTTTTAAAACTCACCAAACCAGGTAGCTTGTGATGCTGTTAAATGTATGGCTTCATTGGGATCCGTTATTTGTTTTAGTGTAACTGTAGGTAAACCCAAACCCATTCCAGTTGCAAGTAGGCCAACATTTCCGAGGATCACCATAATTGCTTGACGTCTTATTGCACATTTTTGCTCACCTAACGGCTTTCTACTTAACGGCTTATGAAGGCCAGCAACAATCTGAGGTTGTCCATTAGTTCGCAAAGATTGAAACTCATTCAGTTCATTGTTAAGTTTTTCATTCATTTTTTGGTTTTTTAGTGAACTATAAAATGAAAATATCAAAATTTAATAATTTTTAATATGATTCTATAAACGATTCTATAATATTTAATTGTAAATTATAATTTATTGATTAACATTAACTAAATTATAATGACACCACACCTATATAATTGGCTTTTTAAACTAATTACTAAAAATTACAGAGTGAAACCCAGAATTTAGTTCTTATTTTTATATATATATTCATAGTTTATTTTTAACATTAATAAAACGAATTTTAATTACAACTTTAAATGGTTGGTATTTAAAAGGTCAATAGTTTAAAACGAATTAACATATGTTTGTATCCACTGGATCATGGTAAATAGATGTTACATCCTAAGAAGCAAACTCAAAAAAAAACTCCAAAAAATTTGACACAATTTCATTTAATTATCTCCAAAATTCTAAAAGTACTGTTCAAAATGAGAGGCGTAAAAAAATATAGGCACATCGTTAAATGTATTCGTCGTGTCATACTGATCCGGATTGTGTACATATGTGTGGTTTAACATTTTCCAATACGATCTTCTTTGGTCAATATATCACCTACTTATAATTGTGTATAGTGTCTAACAAATAATTACTTAATTCACCAAATATGTGTTTAAAATTTCCATTGTCTTATTTTCTGTTTAGAAAACTAATTGAACCTTTAAAGTATTGTCAAATAATCAATTAATTAATGGCAAACTTATATATTATAGATTATATCAGTGGCGTAACTACAGGGAAGCAACTGGAAGCAACGCTTTCGGGCCCCCGAATTTAGGGGGCCCCACTATAAATTTTTGTATTCATTGTATTTCTTTTTAATAAATTCTCAAAAGTGGGACGAAACGTTTTTTGTTGGAATAACTTCATATTGCATTTTATAAAAGATACGTAAATTTTAAATTTAACGTACATAATATGTATGTACTTCAAATAAAATATTAAACCTATTTATGAAATAAAAAAGTTTTTCAAAGAAAAATATGTGTCTTGATCGAGAGTTTATATGGAAGCTATATCTAAATTTAAACCCATTTGAAAATAATTTTGTACGTTGTCTTTTGCAAATATCAGTACTGTATACACCATATTCCATTTGAATACCTTTATTAAAAACGGAGAAACCTCATATTCGATTGTTAAGTTTACATATATCACAGCAGAAATAGACGTCCAATTTCAATCAAATCAAATGGTGAACAGGGTGCGCTCCCGAAAAGTATGTGTATAAAGTTTCATTCGAAGAGTTCAAAAGCTGAGAGAGTAGTTTGAACTGTAAAAGTATACTGATATATACTTAATGATATTTCCGAAGTTTCCATTAATGCGTTATGAAAATCTTGACAAACCTTTTTACATTTTTTCGTGTAAAGAGTATAAAAAGAGGGGCCCCTTAGTATGTTGGTAGGGGCCCCTTAGTTAGAATTTGCTTACAGGCCTAAAATATGTAGTTACGCCACTGGATTATATATAAAAATAAACAATTAAAATGGCATGAATTCGTTAAAAATATAAATTGAAAGCCACATGGGTTAATGACATCAATGATTATTAAAGTAATTTTAAAATTTACTGCAATAAAACCATAACACCATAAGTGGTATGGTTATGGACTGTTAAAGTCTCAAAATGTCGATAATTGCTGGAAAAGGCAAAGACAATATGCTACTATATACAACAATAGAAACTATTAAAAAAAAATAAAATATCAAGCACTGACAACTACGAATTTGTTTGGTGCACTAGATCTGCATAGATACCTTATGGTGACCAGCCCTACTTTCTAATATGTTAGCCTATGAGCCAATCCTTTTGAATAACATTATTAGATGTTAAATATTTTCATTTGCTTGAAAAACCAAAAGAAAATTCGGTTGTATGAAAGATAGACACTAAAGACTTTATTTATGGCAAATATTCTTGCTGATATCTGCATGCAATAAATCCATAACAAAAGCAAAAAAAATGTCATCATTTGCAGAGACGAGGAATTATAACTCTGACTTTAGGACATAGATTTTCAGTCATTTTGAGAACCATCTTGTACAAACCAATACTCACAGTAGTTTTATCCTTTTTTTTTTTTGCTTATCTGTGGACAATTTTAAGTCACACTAAGAATAACTGACTACGGGGCTTTATAATATGATGGATCTGATGTCTTTGTATCTGCCTGTGTTTATCAAATTTCGCTGTATTTTTAGGATGCTGAGTGTTGGATTATTGTGACTGTCAATTATATTGAACAGTTTCAGAACACGATCTTTAATGTATTTTTCGACTGAATCGACTCTCAGATCTCTGTGGAGATCTCTGCGCTCCTCTTACGTACGTTAACCAGTTTTCTTAAGGCAATATTTTGCCCTCTTTGAAGAATTTTTAAAGTTGAGTTTGGCGCTTGATAATTAATGCGTGCCCATCCAACCAATCTTTATTTACCACGGAAAAGATACTGAATTTAAAGTACACTCTCCACATCAATAGCAAAATACAATGTAGTAATGACAAAATAGGGCCTAAAAGTTATATAAAGTGCCCATATGTCCATCCGGTATATAAATTAACAAACATAATATAAAATAAAAATATTTTAAAAAAGCAAACAAATTTAAACTCAACAAGTCTCATTAGTATGTGATTTCGAATTCAGCCTGACAGCTATAAAATTAATCTGTGCATTCATTTGTAATAAATTATAGGCTATGTCAGCTTTTTCCAATTGTGTGAGATACTTGGATTACGTTAAAACCATTATACTCGTATAGTACTGTTTATACAGTGCTTATAATATATTAAGAACTAAAATTATATTATTAAAAAGTTTTAAGTATTTTTAATAATATATTAAAATTACATACTCATTCAATGATGAATGGATTATGCTTCTCATTATGAATCATTATATTTAATTCGTTTAATAAATATATTTCCTAGGTATGTATATAATTTTCAAAAAATTACAAATATGATGAATACAAATGAAATTTTATTCTATAATCATTAATTTATTGTATCATAAGCAATTAATTTAAAATCAATCAATTTAAATTTAAGTCAATGGGAATGCGGTAACAACGCTCATGAAGATGAATTCGATCATTCGCGCAACAATGAAATTTAATTGTTTTTAACAGATAAAAGCTACAAAAAAAATAATAAAAAAATTAAAAAATATACGTATGTGTAATAAAATTGTCATTAAATATGCACTATTAAAAAGTATTTAAATAAAGTAAAAAAACCATTCAAACGCATAAAGATTGAAGTGTATATTTAACAGTTGATGACATTTAAGTGCTTGAATATGAGTATTTGAAATCGAAATGATAGAACATGTCAGGAACTAAATATACTAGCAAAACATGCAATAGTGTTTTCATTATAAACTAAGTAAACTTCATAAATTTTTTTCAAATGAAATAGGAATGAAATGTTCATATATATAATAAGGTAGAATATTATTTATATTATTGTACGGCAGAATTATGGTGTGAAATTGCCTTATATTTTATAAACTAAGTAAACATCATAAATTTTTTACAATAAAATGAGAATGAAAAATTCATATGTATACTTAATGAGCGAAATATCTTTCAATTATGTAAATATAGCACTGAATGTATTGTAAAATATAAAAAAATGTAGTAGAAATTTCAGGTATAAGTCCACATTTTTATGTGTTAAAAGAGAAAACTAGCGTAGAATCATACAATACTAAGAGTACTATTTTACATAAAGTCAAATTTAATTATAAATAAATTATTGGTGCTTCTTCAAATTAAATACTTGTATAAATAATATACAATAGCACAGAACTTAAAATGGAAAATATAATCTATAGATTACCTAGTAGTGGGGCTATTGAATATTATTTATTATTGATTCAAAAAAATTCGTAGAGCGCTAACAAAAAATTATAGAATTTTACTTAAAATATAAATTGACAATAACATATTAAATTGATATATTAAATTGACATCAACTTCATTTTGTGATAGTCAACATCAAGAGATATTGACGTGTATATAATAAAAATGTATATATCACGTATTAGGTATTTAGCACATAATTGTTTTACAAAAACATTAAAAATCTCAATTCCGATAACGCAACGACCATTAGAACAAATAACAAGATGTCTAGTCAGCTGGCCGTTGCTTCTGAAATACGACAAGGCGACTATTTAAGCCCTATTTTGTTCAATCTTATCATGGATAAGATTACTGCAGATGTGAAAGGTGTGGCCAGAAGGCACAAACTAAGAAATTAAATAAAAATAGATTTGACGCTGCCACCTCCACCTCGAAAACAAAGTCCCTAACAATCGAATTGAGTATACGATACTCCTACAGAGCAGATCATAGAATTTAACTACCTTGGAACTAATATAACATCATCAAAGATCCCAAGTGCTGAAGCTACGGTCCAAGTAAACAACGCGGGTTGCATAGTAGGTTGTCTTAGAGATACAATAAGGCGAAACAAATATCTAAGCGTAAGATGAAAAATTTGAATATATAAGACGTGCGTTAGACCTATATCAACGTATGCCATTGATACAAGAGCCGATATGAAAACCACTAAATATACTAAATATAACACTTAAAATCTTCGTTGCTTTCTACTCAATGAATCATTATACTTTCGCAACCTAGTGAATATACTTTGATATTTCCTTCTTATCACGTGCAAACTTTTTATAAATATTAAACTCGTCTTGTGCATTAATAACACAGTCACGAAAAACCGGATCCCACATTTTAAGCAAATGTCCATACTTTTGTCACAGTTATTGTTTTACCAAAATTAAGATAATTAACTAAATTATATTTCCAGACTCGTTCAAATAAAAAACAAAAACAAATAAAAAATTAGTTTCTGTCGCTGTGCAAAACAATAAACAAATCAATTGCTCCAATACATTCCCAAGACTCAAATTAATTTTTGGAAAACCTATTCAGAACTGCCAAATCGTGACAACAAATTTTTCTGAAGTCTATTTTTAAA